AAGGACAGAAATATTTCATTTCACCAAGTGATTACCTATTAACTCTTGCTCAGCATCCTTGTGAGCACCACGGCAGTGAATTTAAGAGTGAATCTGCTCATTCCTTGCCTTGAAAACCCTCTGGGGTCAGTTATGACTTGATAACACTTTACACACACACACACAAAATAGCAGTAGCACTGTATACCAAGTTCTTGGTAGTTGTTTTGTGAAATGTAGTCATTTGTAAATTGAATTCATCATGATCAAAACACGATCAAAACCCTGTCTGTTGTTTGTCCAGAGGATTCTGTTCATATCTAGAAAATCTGCAGGAATATTCTTCATAGCTCATGTTGTAAATCTAGAATTGGGATGTTAATTATCTATAAGCTATTAATTAACATATACATTTCCAAGGCTTTTCAAGCAAAACTTAAAATTATTTTTTAAAAAACCCTTAGCATCTTTGGAGGAATCTCTAAATATGGCTGCTACCTCAGATTAGCTGGTCACACCTTTGGCCTTCCATTAACTGTCTTGGGAGTTATGTGGGTGAGTCCATTGGTGGTTCTACAGTGGTTTTTCCAATTGTTGTCTATGTGGAAAGATGGAATTGGGGGGGGGGTTTGCTATGGTCCTGTTGCTATAATAGTGGGCTCCTCAAATTATTTTTGGCCATGAAATGCGGATTTGCTGTTGTTTTCCCCTCAGCGTTCAACCCACAGATATCCTCTGATGATAAAGGATTTGAAAGAGAGTGACAACAATTTTCAAGGAGTATTTAGACAGCATATTATGGCAGTAATCTGTTGTTTAAAGAAAATAAAAGGAACAAAACATGGGAGGGAGAATTTACAACTTTTCTGTATGCTGTAATGTGAAGAGGTTTTCCTCATGCTTGACGCCCCTTTGTCTACATAGACCATGAGGAGAAGAGGTGAAATTTCTGACTGGTTGTTTTGATTAAAAAATGATTGATTTAGAAGCTGGAGATATTTACTTATGTATGGAACCACCTTTAGGATTTGCATCTCATAGGGAAAATCTAATGAAAATGAGCTAACCCCTTTCAGACTAGCCAAGATCTATGGAATTGGGGCTCCCATCACACCAGCGAGGAACTGTGGGCGGGAAGCAAGGCTGTTTGCCCCGGGGTGAACTGACGTGCGTTTGTGCGATTAGACTTCCGCCAGCCTGACCCGCAGTTCTGGATACTACTAGCCTTTCCCCGGTGGCTTTTTGTGACACTCCTGTGGCATGACAAGACGCCCCGCCAACGACTCCGGGACGCTGGACAGATATGTCCATCTGATCGCAGCCCTTTAATCCGCGGGGGAATTGCATGTCTGTCACAGCTTCTGGTACATATGATCTCAGCCTGGGTATAGTAATTGCTGGTTTTATGGAGATGGTAGACTTTTTCAGTATGTCTTGGATATGTAAACAGGCAACAGATTACTGGAAACAAGTGATGAAAATTGTATCAGTCAGATTAGACAGACAGATTCCTTATAAAGCAAAGAGTGACTGTTATACTGTGTAGTTGATATGCATAAAAATCATCATGTAGTACTAGTATCAGAGATGATTACCACAGCCAGATTGGTTTTGCTAGGGTTGTCAGCCTCCTGGTGTGGTCTGGAGTTCTCCCAGAATTACAATTGATCTCCAGATCAGTTCCCTTGGAGAAAATGACAACTCTACCATATACTCAGGAGATACACATGGCTCTTTCACACAGTCTAATTTAATGTTAATAAAAAGCAGATTTGCATATTTTCCGATAAAAATGTGTGTGTGATTTTTGTTCATGTCTTGCAGCTCTCGAACATTATGTTTATTCTATGTGGCTATTACATTAAGCAAGTTTGCCCCCCCCCTATATACCATAGAATTCATATGGCATAGATTCTAGGAGAAACCCCTCCCCAGACCCCCCCCCCTCCACAGGCACTACCCACAAATATCCAGTAATTTCCCAGGATGGAGTTGGCAAACCTGGCCTTTGTTAGGAATGCGTGTGTGTGTGTGTATTAAAAGAAAATGCCTATGCACTGGTGAAACTAACACCCTACCAACAAAATAGAAATGCTTCCAGATTAGACTCATTATGGTGGAGGATTGTGGAGAGAATGGAACTTGCAGCAAAATGTAAGAAATAGAACTCTCAATTTCATGGGGGTTTTATGGTTGCACTGATGGTTGTACCTAATGTTATTGTTGTACATTGTACCTAGTATGTATACTCTTTTATTATGTGTATCTTTTCACTGTATTGGGTTTGGGGTTTTTTGAAAAAAACAAGAAGCTTTAAAGGCTTCTTTAAAAAAAGAAGATGCAACATACTTTTTTCTTATGAGGAGGTAAAATGTATTTATTTAAATGAAATTGTGAAGTGCCTATTACACTGAAAGGAACACAGCAATTATGTATAATACTGAACTGGGCCATGAACCATGTACTATGTTGTTGTTGTTTTTACCCCCAGGGCAGTAGTGCTCCAGATTTTGTTGAGTAATTATCCAGAGTCTATTAATACCCCTTCTCATTGTGTGCTGTTCTTGGGAGAAAAAGATTTCCCATGCTGGCTGCAGCCCATGACAACATGATAGGTCTTGAGAAGCCTGTCATTGTATGATGAAGTCATCATGAGTTAATTGAATTTTGCTTGTGTGGTGGTGGAAGGTGCATTCAAGTCGCAGCAGACTTATGGTGAACCCTGTAGGGTTTTCAAGGTAAGAGATGAACAGAAGTGGTTCACCATTGTCTGCCTTTGTGTAGTAACCCTGGACTTCCTTGGTGGTCTTCCATCCAATTGCTAACCAGGGCTAACCCTGCTTAGCTTCCAAAATCTGATGAGATCAGGCTAGCCTTATGATTACGATTATTTTTCTTTTTTTAAACCACCCTCCCCTGTAGGATGGGGCTCCGGACGGTGTACACCCATATAAAATCTTTACATAATAGAATCATATTAAAAATCCATAATATATTATACAGCAGTAATAACCTATAGCCAGTAAGATGGAGATGGAACTGCCAGAATGTCACTGCCTCATTTGGGGAGGCAGGAGGAACAGGAGTGCCAGTCAGATGGAAAACTGTTGCTGCCCTCAACCAAATGTCTAGTGGAACATCTCTGCCTTGCATGCCCTGTGGAACTGCACTAAGTCCCACAGGACACAGATGTTGTTTGGCAGAGCGTTTCACCAGGTTGGGGGCCAGGGCCAAAAATGCCCTGGCCCTGGTCGAGGACAGCCAGATGTCTCTTAAGCCAGGAACCACCAGCAGGTCCTTATTGACCGAGTGTAATACCCTTCAGGGAGTATACCAGGAGAGGTGGTCCTGAAGATATGTAGGTCCATGACGGCCTTAAAGGCTAATACCATAACCTTGTCCAGTACTTCACTGGAAGCCAGCACAGCTCACAGAGCACAGGTTGGATGTCTGCTGTACGTGGAGTCCCCATGAGGACTCGTGCTGCTGCATTCTGGATCAGCTGGAGTTTCTGGGTCAGTCTCAAGGGTAGCTCTATGTAGAGTGAGTTACAGTAGTCCAATCTGGAGGTGACCATTGCATGGATTTCTGTGACTAAGTCAGGGAAAGACAGGTAGGAGGCCAGTTGTCTGACCTGGTGCAGCTGGAAGAATAGCAGTCTTACAACGTTTGTGATCTTGGCCTCCATTGATAAGGAGGCATCCAAGATCACACCCAGGCTCTTGACAGTCAATAATGATTTCAAGGGCACGCTGTCAAGGGTCAGGAGACAACACCCCAACCCTGAATCCCCGCTCCCCAACCACAAAATCTCTGTCGTAGCAGGATTCAGACTCAGCTGACTGTGCTTCAACCATCCCACCACAGCCTCTAAACCCTCAGCTAGATTTGCTGGTGTGGTATCTGCCAGCCACCCATCAACTGATACAGCTGGATGTCATCAGCGTACTGGTGACATCCCAGGCCCAAACTCTGCACCAGTCGGGCAAGGGGGGCACACATAGATGTCACCTGTCACCCATTTTGGGATGCTTTGCTTGTGTAGAGAGTTCGTATGAGTCAACTAGTCTGCAGGCTGATATTGTCCTGAGCAAACCTGACCAAATGGCTCTATTTTGAAAAAAAAATGTTTTAGGCTGATCCAAGACAATATACTAGGGATCCCAGCCTCCAGATGGGACCTGGGGATCCCCCATAATTGCACCTTATCACTAGTTTCAGATCATTTATGAATACATTAAATAGTACCAGCACAATACATGATCCTTGTGAAAACTCACTGCTTTCTTCCGTCCATTGTGAAAACATTGTGAGGACTGTCCATTTCCTACTCTTTGCTTCCTGTCATTTAACAAATTTTTAATCCAGTCCTCTTATTCTATAACTGCTGAGTTTACTCAGGAGTATTTGGTGAGGTACTTTGTCAAAAGCCTTTTGAAAATCCAAGTATATAATGTCTACCAGGTCACTGTACCTAGGGATGCCAGCCTTCAGGTGTGACATGGGGATTCCTCAGAATTACAGCTCATCTCCACACTACAGAAGTCAGTTCTGCTGGAAAAAATGGATGCTTTGGAGGGGGGATTCCATGGCATTGTACCCCACCGAGGTCCCTGTCCTCCCCAGGCTCTATCCCCAAATCTCCAGGAGTTTCTTAACCTGTGTCTGGTAACCCTATCCCCCTTCCCTCCTGGTAGCCAAGGGGAACATGACAACTCTACAATATACTTTTCAGGAATTAATAACTTGCGGGCCACATGACCATGGGAAATTCTCTGGACAACACTGGCTCTTTGGCTTGGAAACAGAGATGAGCACCACCCCCTAAAGTTGGATTTGACTGCTTTCGAGCAAGGGAAACCTTTTTATATAGAGTCTAGAAATGGCAGTTACTTTGTGTATGGAAAGTTTGTGTTCTCACAGTGTCCTCTCTCTCCCACTGCTTTCATATTGGAAAGAATGGCTATTGACTGTTTAATTTGTTTACCTGGCAACAAAATATGTATCTGTTATTTCCACAGAGATTGAAAAAGAAAGCTGTGGGGATCCTGGAACTCCATTATATGGCATTAGAGAAGGGGATGGATTTTCCAATCGTGACGTGTTAAGGTTTGAGTGTCAGTTTGGGTTTGAACTGATTGGAGAAAAATCTATTGTTTGTCAAGAGAACAATCAGTGGTCGGCAAACATACCCATCTGCATTTGTGAGTACCACACGATTTACTGAGGTATTTTCCAAGGAATATGTTGATCACAACATGGCAAACTACTATATACTGGAGGACTTTTTCCTAATACAGTCATCAAATAATGGTCTGAGTTCAAACCTTAATTCCAAGTAAAATAAATGTTCCCTGTCTTTGTGCAGAAATTATTTGATTAGAATCTACAACTCTGTTGTGCTAACTGCAATACTTTCCTTTGGCATGGAACCCTTCCACTGATTCTAGCATCTCTCCTGCTGGCCAAAAACTTCCCTAATCAGCCTGGATGAATGAGAATAATCTCATGGATCCGTCCCAGTAATATCATTACTAGTGGGGCTGTAGGATCCTTTCATATAATACTGCCATGTTGTGATTTTGTATAACGCAGTATATTTTATATTTGTATTTTATCTCACATTTACACTGTTTTATAGATGCTATTAGAAGCCAGTTATATTTTATGAAGTTAGTAGTGGCTGAATTGTAATCAAGGCCATTTAAATTATTTACTAATCTTTTCTTCCCCCCTCCATGCATTATGTATAAATACTTTTAGTATGTACATAATCATACAGAGATATATTTTGATTGTCTAACATTATTATCATGCAGTGTGAAATGTAGCAATTATGTAATATATTGTCTACAGCAGGGCTATTTTTGGGCAGGAACGCACAGGAACGGAGTTCCGGCTGGCTCCCGAGTTGGCCACGCCCAGCAGGAACTCATTAGCATAATAGGCCACACCCAACAGCAGAAACTCATTAGGATTGGCTACATTAGGGGTGTATGGCCTAGCATGCAAAGGAGTTCCTGCTACAAAAAAAGGCCCTGGGTTTTGACAACAAACAAGGTAAACAGAATAACAAGCAAAAGGTGGGTGTGGCTGGATGACCACACTTCTGGTAACGTGGGGGTGTGGCTTAATATGCTAATGAGTGGTGCAGTCAGGGGTGTGGCCTAATATGCTAATGAGTTTCTGTTGCCGGGTGTGGCCTATTATGCTAATGAGTTCCTGCTGGGCTTTTTCTACAAAAAGAGCCCTGGCAGTATATAACGAATGTATCTTTCAGTGCTTCTACAAAAAAAAGTAAGAATAACACACAGTGAGAGCAATAGAGCTCAGTGCCTCGTTTAAATGGTTATGAGTTACATTAACATTTGTGAAATAGAATTATTAAGTAGGAAATAGCGTATGGCTAACAAGGAATGTTGTGGGGGGACTCTTGATGGCTCATGTAGTTCAACTGCTTAATTGAGAACTACAGATTATCAAGACAGCTTTGACCTTCTGACAATCTCCATTGTGGAATTGTTCGTCTAAACTGTTCCCTAAAGAGGGCAATAAGTATCACCAAATGAGTAAGGACTGTTGGACTGTTTTTCCCCAGTAATCTGTATCTTCCCCAATAGAAAAGGGAAGGGCGTTGTAGCAGATGAGATAACCCATTTAAAACACTCTGTATTGGTTTTGCAGCCAAGGACATAGCTGTTTGCCCCTTTTCAGCTACAGTTATCTTTCCAGAGGAGTAAGTGTGTTTGCACCCTCAAGTGGTGCTACAGTGGGGGGATAATAACTCGGATGGGGAGGGATATCACATCCAGCAATCTATGTACTCAGCACAGCTGTCCAAGGCAACACAATCCTGGTACCCCTGCCCAGTCGATTCCATCAAGAAAAGCAAGAGAGGTACCCCCCCCCCCCCCAAAAGGCCTTTGCAGCATCAGTCAACTCTTGGGAGGATGGAACTGAGGAAGAGTCCCTTGGCCTGAGCAAAGCTCATTTCCTTCCACTTCCTGTCTCTCTTGAAAGCCAGCAGAGGCTTTGCAGCATAATCTCTTTGTCCGAACTGTGGTTATCCCAGGGGATGCTCATGAGGTTGCCACAGTGGATGCTCATCGTTTTGCTGCAGTTGTGGTTTTCTTTGAGTTAAGATAATTAGTGCATTTGATAGAAATTTAACAATGAGATTGTTGTTGGAAAATATGTCTTGGAAGCCCAGTTTTTTTAAAAAATAATCAATTTCTTTCTTGGCAGTTCCTTGTCTTTCTAATTTCACGGCACCGATGGGGACTGTTCTTTCTCCGGATTACCCAGAGGGATATGGAAATAATTTGAATTGCATCTGGACAATCATTTCAGACCCAGGAAGTCGCATTCATCTCTCTTTTAATGACTTTGACTTGGAGTCCCAGTTTGACTTCCTTGCAATTAAAGATGGTGACTCTCCAGATTCTCCAATACTTGGAACATTCACTGGAGCTGAAGTGCCCTCCCATCTGACTAGTAACAGTCATATTTTACGTCTGGAATTTCAAGCTGACCACTCAATGTCAGGACGTGGATTTAATATCACATATAACAGTGAGTAGCTTTTAACTTCACAATCTAAAATTCAGATGCAAACCATTCTTTACAGTACTATTAAAGTCATGCATTTCAAACAGATTCTGGAAGCCTTTTTTCACAGATGTCACTAGTCAGAAGCAAAATTGGTTCCAGAGGTATGCAGAAAGATGTTGCTGTGGCGATGTGGTTTCACTCGTTCTAGTGCTGTGCTCCTGACAATACTTTGAATAGCTACTTTATTTCCTGGAGATAGCTCAAGATGTCTGTAGCAGTAGAAAAGAGCAAGACTCCAGTAGGACCTTAAAAACTAACAAAATATGTGGCAGGGTATGAGTTTTTGTGATAAGTCACTGCTCACTTCTTCAGATACAGCTAGAATGGGAGTCCATCTGTCCTATTTATTGGAAAGTGGAGTGATTTCAGATTTCACATTAGCAAGAACTAGAAGAGAAGAGATTGGATTTATACCCTGACCTTCACTACCCAAAGGAGTCTCAGAGCGGCTTACAAATTCCTTTCCCTCCCCCTCCCCACAACAGATACCCTGTGAGGTAGGCGGGGCTCAGAAAGCTCTGACAGAAACTGCTCTTTTCAAGAACAGCTGTGCCAGAACTATGGCTTGCCCAAGGTCATCCAGCAGCTACAAGTGAAGGAGTGGGAAATCAAACCCGGTTCTCCCAGATTAGAGTCCGCGCACTTAACCACCACACCAAACTGGTGACAAAATACACTGTGAAAAAGCAATTTCTAACAATTATATATAAATAAAGACTTGTGCAAGCTTATTTGTCTGATTCTTATATTAAAGTTAAATAAAATGTTATAATAGAAGGAAACTTTATAAAGTGGAACTTAGAACATATGTGTACATGTCTTATAAAATAAATCTTAAACATAGATGTGTATCATGTCAAAGGACAAAACACAAGCCACAACAAAATGCAAAACAGAATACAAGTCAAACAAGGTTGCTTAACATCATACATAACAACTCAAAGAAAAATTCAGGCACAGTGATGATTTCTGTTTTCTGTGCTTTTGGCAAACAATGATTTAAACAGCAGGTAATGAGGCAGGACACCTAGGTCTCAGTTCAGTCCAGGTGGATGCATTGTCTTGAGGTTCATTGTCAATTCCAATTCCACAGTCTCTCTTTGTAATCTCTCTTTGAAATGCCCTTCCACCCTCTACACTGGACAAACAGGCCAGTCCCTTCAACAAAGAATTAATGGACATAAGTCTGACATTAGGAACCACAACATTCAAAAAAGAGTGGGGGAACATTTCAACCTTCCAAGACGTTCAGTTGCTGACCTAAAAGTAGCAGCTCTCTTAGAAAGGAATTTCAAAGGGAGGCTAGAAAGAGAGACTGCTGAATTACAATTGATAATGAAGCTCAAGACAATGCGACCACATTTAAGAACCCAAGAAATGTGCATGGCTGTCATATATCGCAGTGGGCTATATTGTGTGCATCAGATATTGAAACCCATTTCCACGACCATTGAAAACTATGTTTCCAGAAGAGGGTTGCCAACCTCCAGGTGGTGGCTGGAGACCTCCTGGGATTACAACTGATCTCTGAGTGACAGAGATCAATTCCCCTGGAGAAAATTGCCATGCTGGAAGGTGGACTGTATGGCATTATACCCCATTGGAGTCCCTCTCCTCCCCAAACCCCACCCTCCTCAGACTCCACCCCCAAAATATGCAGGTATTTCCTACCTGGATCTGGCAGCTGTATTCCAGGATGAAGCCCAATCTTTTGTTTATTTATGTGGCTTTACCCAATAAAGCCCTCTCCTGCATTGCTATGTCTAGGCAAAGGGCTTGGTGTAGATGACTGCAAGGGGGCCAGTATTGTTCCATTTTGGGTTAGCTCAGGCTTTGGAGGACTCTGGGTCCAATACTAAATGTACAGGGGGAGGATTGGGAGAGACATATAACACATTGAGCTTGAGCCTCCCCTCCCACATGATCAGATAGACCCACCCTGTTACAAATAAAGATGTAACAATCTAAAAGAGAGAGAGAGAGAGAAGAGATTGGAGTTTTACCCCGCCCTTCACTTCCTCCCAAGTACTTACCTTAATTCGGCAGGGGATGTATAGTTCTTCGCAGGACCATTCCGGTGGGGAAAACACAGGCGCTGCACTATTCCATCGCCCAGACGTGACGTAGGCGCGTAGCCGGGCGATGCTCTAGCAGTGGGGCTGGAAACTCGATGGTACCATCGAGTTTCCAGTCCCATTACCAGAGTGTCACCCAGCTACGTTCCTACGTCATGTCTCGGTGACAGAATAGTGCAGCACCTGTGTTCCAAGCAAGAATCTTCTGGTGGGGAAGCATGTGTCCCCCGCCGGATCGTAGGTGGGTACTTGGGAACCCTACTTCCTGAAGGAGTCTCAGAGTGTCTTACAATCTCCTTTCCCTTCCCCTCCCCACCACAGACACTCTGTGAGGTAGGTGGGGCTGAGAGAGCTCTTTCTAGGACTGCTCGTGAGACAACAGCTCTGAAAGAACTTGTAACTGACCCAAGGTCACACCAGCAGCTGCATGTGGAGGAGTGGGGGAATCAAACCTGGTCCACTTCTAACCACTACATCAGACTGGCTTACGGGAGACTGTAGCTGGACCATATGTGTCTGAGTGTAATTAATTATCCGAAGCCAAAACGTGACAATTCCATTATTTAGTGGTCTTAATGGGGATGAACAATTTATGAAGCACATGCTGATAATTGCTAATTATCCAGTTTTCTGCTCACAGTTACCATTAACTGTTTTTCTGGTGTATTTCATAGTTATGCAACCAAGAATACTTATATTCCTTCTCACCTCCTCAGACGCAAGATGGCTAACAAAGTGGCAAGAGCTGCAAAGGCATAAATATGTCATAAGGGTCCAGCAACAATATAAAAACAGTACACAGTTAACAATGTAAAGTTTAAAATGCCGTCAAATTCTGCCAGAACAGCTTACCATCTACCCAATGCCCTCTGGAATAAAATCATCTTGCCTTCTAAGATGCACCCACTCTGGGCAGAAACAGATCTGAATTAGCAAAGGGGTGCTTCAGGGAGATGAAGTCTTAGAGGCAAAGTCTGCTTGTGCCTGACTCTGCCTGTTACTAATGTTCATATTTCTTTTGTCTACTCTTACCTTTATCCCTACCTATACTGCTCAATGGTGTAAAAATTCATTTTTGGATTTGTAGCCATGGAATCTACATTTTAGCATCTGATCCTATCCCACTGAGGGCTCATCTGGTAGTCAGATTCCCCACAGGGTCTTCTAGCTGTGTTAGAAAGCTGGTTTTGCTTTCCCATGGTCCACAGCACAGGGGCAAGCTCAGAGAATACATGAAGCGTATCATGATGAATATTAACTTGCTTTCCTGTGGTGTTGCCTTATGATGTGGTTAAGGCATAGCACAGATTTGCAGCAAAATTAGCATGTCTTAGGTGTTTTGTGTCTGTTTTAAATGGGTAGCCATGTCGAAGAGCAAGGTTTGAGTCCAGTAGAGCCAGTTTGGTATAGTGGTTAAGAGTAGCGGATGTGAATCTGAAGAGCCAGGTTTGAGTCCCCACTTCTTCACATGTAGCCAGCTAGGTGACCTTGGATCAGTCACAGTGCTCTCAGAGCTGTTCTCTCAAAAGCAGTCCTTGCGAAGCTCTCTCAGCATCACCTACCTCACAGGGTTGTCTGTTGTGAGGAGAGGAAAGGGAGGAGATTGTAAGCCACTCTGAGGCTGCAGCCACACACACTAAATAATCCACTTCCAATGCACTTCACACAAGTAAAATCCAGCTGGAAAGTGCACTGAAAGTGTGTGACCACAGCCCGAAACTCCGAGGGAAAGGTGGGGTATATGAGCTGCCTTCAGTCAGATATGAGAAAGGAAGCTTTGACTCTTGAAAACTTACACTGTGGAAATCATGTTGGTCTTTAAGGTCCTACTGGGCGTGAATCATGTTTGTATTTTCCTTCTGGGGGAAATCAATCAATCATTGAGGAGGCCGATCCCCCACCTCCACCCCATATTTCAGCATCTTATAGATATAGGAAGCAAAGTAAGATGGCCTCCCTCAAAGTCTGTTTGGTTATTGAATGAGGGTTTCTTAAAACATTTTTTTAAAATTAAATACGAAGCTTAAGCATTTCATGACAATTTAAGTTTACTACTTTTCTGAAGTGACACTGGTGGCAAGTTTGTACCAGCAAGGTGGGGTATAAATTGGAAGTAAATAAATAAATAAAACTAAGAAGTTGTCCAAATGTAATTGAGGAACATTAAAGCTAAAATAGGTGTATGCCCTGGCAGATGATTACATATGAAGCTGCTAGTTTGCCATTAGTGATTCCCCCTTATGCTTCTCGTATTTTGTCAAGTTTCATCTGATGCTTTAATGGTAGCTTGAATTAAGATAAGATTCTTTTCTTCTTCACAGTGGGTTGTTATAAATTAATTTTCACTGTGCCTAGTCTCTGCTGTTCTGTTTTGTGGTCCATAGATGTTTGCATCTGTGTATGTTTTGAATGTATTATCTTTTTTGGGGGGGGGATGAAAAAGCAAAATAAAAAAAGGAAATGTCTGTGAGATTATTAATTGCCTGATCTTTTGCATATTTACTCAGAAGTCCTGAGCTGAATCAAGCCTTTGTCTGAGAATGGGAGGAGGAAAAGTGTTTGTGACGTTTTTGTAGCTGGTGATCAGTAGGGGTGGAGGTGGGTCTGCGTAAGCTTTTTAGGCCAAGGCAGTTTTGTGCCTAGATGGACAGGACTGCACCCTTAGTTAGATTTTGATACACAGATCGCACGAAGGGAACAGAAAGTATAACAACCAAGGATTGAATGGTGATTTTGAAGCACCTGTGAGGTTACACGAGATTGTGCTGTGTATCTATAAGAACTAAGGTTGGTTGGTAGTGAGTTTCCCAGGCACTACTGCTCTTGACTGAGGAAGTTATGATCTGTAGTGTGTGTGTTTTTCTTCCTCCCCATGCTCTCTCTGTGCATTTACCCCACGGTATCCATCTTTTCCTTGAAGGTTTTTGTGTTCTTAATACTATGATTCCCCGATGCACAATGGGAACATTTCATTTTTTTCTTCTTTAACCATACTTTGCCTCCCCCCTTCTCTAGTTATTTGGGGAAAGCTCCCCCTCTTCTCCATGGTACTGTGTTGTTGTTTTACATTCTCCCCCAAAGAGAAATGAGGCAGTTGCAGGTTTGAGATTTAGAAGTAGCCCTTGATTTTAAAAAACAACAACACCTGGACAGAAGCAAAGAGAATCTGTCTTCTGCTCGTTATCATCCCTTAAGCCTCTTGATGCTATCAATAAAAGATCGATTTTATGATATGGTCCATCACATGTGCCTGAGCAAGAGGAATAGGAGACCAACAAGAGGGATGTTAACGCTGTACGCTTTCTATGTTCTCTTCAAGAATCCAAAAGGTGGATTTTTATAGTGCACTATCATATAAAGTCAACATGAATTCCTCATGAATAATTAGTACCATCTCTGTAAATATCATATACTGCTAAAATACTAGTGGTATGTCTTGTTAGCCAGTGCCTCCTGGCAGGGGTCATTTCGTAGAAAAAGAGCTAGGGGAACTCATTAGCATAACTCATTAGCATATGCCACACCCCCTGACATCACCGGAAGTGTGTCATAAGGTCACACCTCCTGACATCGCCGGAAATGTGTCATAAGGCCACACAACCTGCCCCCAACGGTCCCGGCCGCCGGTGCCGGCCTTGCAGCTCCACTGCCGAGACCCATGAGGGGCCCGGCGGTGGACCTGCAAGGCCGGCGGGAGTGCGAGGAAGCCCCGTGAAGGCCCTCCCTGGCCCCAGGCAGGCAGGGGGGGGGAGAGGCGGGGAGGAAGCAACTTACCCTCCCTCTTCTCCTGCCTCCTCCTGGCTGAATGAGGGCTGGAAGCGGGGCGGCCGGAAGCAGGGGGCGGGGCTTCGTCATGTGCCCCGCCCCCCTGCACCTCACCCGGGGGAACTGTGTTCCCTCGCGTTCCCCCCCGAAATGACCTCTGCCTCCTGGTAATAAATATCATATTTTGGATGTGGCCCTATGGATATAGGGTTGCTAACCTCCAGACAAGTCTTGGCATTGTGCCAGAACTACAACTGCTTTCCAGACTATAGAGATCAGTTCCCCTGGAGAAAATGCAGCTTTGAAGGTTTGACTCTGTGGCATAGTTTTCCAACTCCACCTACCCCAGGCTCTGTCCCCAGATCTCCAGGGATTTCCCAGCCTAGAGTTTGCAACTCTACATGTGGACAAGTTCAAAAAAAATAATAATCCTATTTTTATTTGCCTCCTCCTGTGTCTGCCTACATTCTACAGCCACCAAGCTCCCACTGTTGTAAGATTTCCAGCAAATGCTTCAAGACTCTGTGAACTGGGGGTGGGGGGGAGGACTTCTAGTGATGAACTGGGGGAGGACATCTAGTGAAGCACGTCAGATCTCCAAAATACACCTGGCAATCATTTATCACATTTTCCTCTCTCTCTTTTTTTTCTTCCTGTTTTTGTTTCAAAGCCTTTGGACATAATGAGTGTCCTGATCCTGGGATACCAATCAATGCACGGCGTTTTGGTGACAACTTTCAACTGGGAAGTTCAATCTCTGTCATTTGTGAAGAAGGTTTTATTAAAACTCAAGGAACTGAAACAATCACTTGTGTATTGATGGATGGGAAGGTTATGTGGAGTGGACCGATCCCTAAGTGTGGAGGTAAGATGGGTATCTTTATTTAAGTTTATATGTATAAAATATCATTACAGCTTTTGAATGGATGAATCATGCACTGTGCGTTCTTTTCAAGATGTCTGTGCTGGAAGATGAAAGACATGGCTAGTGTAGCACCATTTGTTGATTCTTTGTGGTCATCGCATAGTAATTTATTTAGATATGTGTGGCTCAGATTAATTGCACAGGGACATGGTAAACTCTTTCACATAACCAAATTCCATTGGGCTTGGTGGTGAAAATGAAAATCAGTATGTCTGGGAAATATATTCATCTTAATTGATTTCCATGTGCCTACCATATTGGTACACTTTAGCCCACTCCCCCCCCCCCCCCCCCCCACATTTTCCCTTTTTTTTAGTATAATCCCCCCCCCCCGGATATCTTAATTATATCAAACTGAGATCTGGATTTACATTTGTTTTCCTCTTGTTTGCTAATTATACAAATAGTAAGGGTTTATACAGAAAAAACAATCTAAATGTTGCATATACATTCTTGAACAAAGTGTCCCCCTTGTGATCTTTGTGTTTGTTTTGGAAATGCAAAAACCTGAAGTCATTAATTAGTTCATGTTTAGTATGCTGTTTTGATGTGCTGTCAGGATTACATTTGGATGAAAGCAGCATCTGATTCTGCTAATAAGACTATAAAGAATAGAATGTTAACAGTGGAGATCTGTGATTCCCTCCCTTCCCACATTGCTGCCGCTGCCAGGCCAGGCTCCCATCCTCTGGTGGCAGGCATCCCATGGCTTCTCCCTTCCTTGCTTGTGCTGCCACCTGGTTCCCTCATTGCCAGCTTGGTGGGGGCGGAGATGGTATGGAGGTCTGCCATGCCTCCCCACCTAACTCCCTGGTTGCTGGCTTGGCGGGGGGATGAAGGCTCCAGCTCCCCTCCTGACTCCTTTGTTGCTGGCTCGTTGAGGGCAGCAAGGACTCCCACGCCTCCCTGACCGACTCCTGGTTGCCAGTTCAGTGGTCAGGTGAGCAGGCTTGCTGGCTAGGTGATGGCAGTGAGGACTCCGATGCCTCCCGTCCAACTCCATCTTTTTGGGCTTGCTGGAGGACGGTAAACATTCCTACACCCCCGCCTGAATTCTTTGTTGTTGGTCAGGCCAGGTGCAGTGAGGACTCATGCCTGTTCCCCGGTTGCTGCTTCAGCAGGTGGACAGGCAGGCTTGCTGGCTCAGTAGGGGTGCAGCAAGGACTCCCTTGCCTCCCTGCCCAACTATTTCCATGCTGGTGCATGGGGGGGGCATCAAGGGCTTCTTCCCCCTGTTGCCACTATCTAGCTCCTCTGAGGCTCCCCCCCCCCCTCACTGATGCAGGCGGGAAGCCCTAGGTGGCTTCCAAACGCCACTGCCAGGGCAAGCTAAGCTTTCCCCCTATGATGCTGGTGAGCAACACACAACTCCCGGCCTCCACTGAGGCTTCTTGTTGCCGCCTGACGTAGGACAAGGTATTGGGGGGGGGATTTAGGTACCCACAGATGGGGGCCAGAGTTCATTATTAGATGAATAGATTAGCAGAATTAAATGCTTAACAGCACAGTTAGTGTAAAAACTGGTTATTGATTTAATTAACTTAAGAAATATTATTGTTTATTTTTTAATTTATGTCAGAAAAGTCATGGAAACCGATTGTAATTGGACAGTTTCTAAATTGTTAACATTTCTCAATTCTTCCAGTTACTATTTTCCAAGGATCAAGGAATTTGCAGTGCATTCCTAAACAGAGTTCCACCATTCTATGTTGATTAAAATCAATGGTCTTATAAGGATATACTTAGAAGGGTTATATGTTTAGGACTGCATTGTTGGGCTCTCATTTAACCACATGCATACATACTAATCTGTCCAAATGGGTGGATTTGTCATGTAGATGTAGTAGAATTTGATACTTTTGTTTCCTGGGAAGTCACTGGACTTCAGCTGCTGAAGCATAAGTAAAGGCACCCTGCTTTCTAAAAGGGTGTCCTGGAGCAGAACCATGATAGCATTTCCTTTTATCCCTCTGAGCCAACTGAAGAATCCTTTACATCCTCTTACTCTGGCAATGCTGCACTATACTTGCTTTTGGGAAGCACATTGCTTTAACAACTTGAAGATGCAGCAAGCATGCTGCTGTAAGCAATGTTCCCTTTAAGCTGAGTTAGTGTGAGCTAGCTCACAGTTTTTTAGCCTTCAGCTCACACATTTTTGTCATAGCTCAGGAAGGATGACTCCAAGGCAAACAGACTTATACAGCAGCCAAATTGCCTGCTCACAACTTTAATGCTAGTAGCTCACAAAGTAGAAATTTTGGCTCACAAGACTCCATAGCTTAGAGGGAACATTGGCTGTAAGTTGTATTTTACATCAGTAATTCCACAGTCAAAACAATATATATATATTTTTTAAAAATGCCTGCTTTGTGAGCCTCACTTGGCTAATTGTTCAAGGCATATGAAATATTAGCCAAGCTGATAAAAAGGAAGGAATTTGATTGTTCAAGAAAAGGACTGATTGTTCAAGAAAAGATGTTCTTGTCTAAGAACCATTTTTTTAAAAAAGCCATCAGTGTGTTGAACTTTACACAAAGTGAGTTGCTGTGCTAAATTCAAAAACATCTGCTATCTTATGTAAACACTTGGAAAAAGATTTTGCCATTTCAGAAACCCATCTGATTCTTCATGAGAACAAATTTTTGAGTGGCTAATACTCTCATACAGCAGTCTTCTTCCCTCGATAGTGCGTGTTTGTGTGTGTGCGCGTGCGCACACACACGGCATTGAACTCCATAATTTAACATCTCAAAAAAGATCAATAAACTTTCTGCCTTATCTATTTGCTTGAATCCCATAACTGGGGTGGGGTTTAGATCCAGACAGATTTCAGAGCATACAGCAAGACCAAAACATTTGAGGTGGCATCATAAAAAATAACACCATTGGAGTACAGTAGAATCTACGATCCTTCCTGAATCCTGCTTCTTTTGACTTCCCTGTTGGGTTCCGCTTTTGTTTTACTTACTGAAGGTGTATATGCAGTGTGCCTTCTGGATCAGGAAGTGTGCCAAATCTTTACGCCCTCAGCTGCTACTGTGCATGAGACATCTACTATTAAAAGAACAATAGTACCCAGGTTTCCTGGATATTTCAGATGCACAGTTCATACACATGCATCTTGCCCATTAAAGCTTTAAAGCTGAACCCAGAATTTTACTACAAGAATGGGACTATAGCAGTATGTGCAATCATTACTGTATTTGCCTTTACATCTGTGAGCAGGATAACTGCAGTGATCCCAGCCTGAAAATGAGTCTGTTTTCTTTTTCTTTCTTTTTTCCAGCTCCATGTGGTGGGCATTTTTCTTCTCCCAGTGGAGTCATCCTTTCTCCAGGCTGGCCTGGGTATTATAAAGACTCCTTGAATTGTGAGTGGGTGATTGAAGCTGAACCAGGACACTCTATCAAAATTACATTTGAAAGGTCTTGACAAAAGCTTTTTTTCTCCTTATTTCACTTTCGTACTTATGAACTGGAGGTTATTCCCCCCACACACACACTGTTGCATAAATAGAAAATTAATTTTCATTTAACACACATTCTTGTTGTGGTTTCGGTGAGAACAGCAGCAGACTGTTGAGGACTTTATTGGAATATAACCCAGTTTAATTGAGTTGTGTTGATTTGTTACTTTAGGATTGTTGCTGATGTATCAACAGGAATTTAATTCTGGTCTCAAATTGTTAGTCTGTATGCATTGGCATTTGGAGAAACCCAGGTCACTAGTGGAGCATAAGCCTTGGCATTCATGTAGTGTCAGATCTGACCCCTGCTTCTGCCAGATAAAGGGAAGAGCATAGCTGCATGACAAATTCAATCCCTAGTGTCGCGGCTGAGGAGTCTATCCATCCACAGGGCTAGGAAAGACAGCTGTCCATGATCATAGAGAACTGCTGCCAGTCTGGGTTAGGAGCGATAATGGTCTGCTTCTCTACGAGGCCGACTGTTCATCTTTAAAGGATTATTAAAAGACTGAAATTGATGCTTCATTATTATAAATTAGTATACTAGATCAGGGCAAAGATGTAGTACAATAAAAAATACTGTCTGTTGCATGCGGTGCTGTACTGTGAGAGCATCCTTTCTCTCCTGTGTCCACCTTGATACATTCTCTCAATGTTACGCATCACTTTTTCTCCTCCCACCTTCTGTTGTATCTGTCACCATCTTCTGCATACATTGTTCATCTGCTTCTTGTGTGTCACAGGCTGTTTCTATCTTGTGCCACCTTTCTTCCTCTAATTTTTGTACCCTATCCCTTCTCTCTCTCTCTCTCTCTCTCTCTCTCTCTCTCTCTCATCACTCCTTCCTCTTCCCAGGCTGGTGCCTATGACTATTCAACCTGTGAGCAGGAGCTCAGTGTAAGATGGTTGATGGTGTTAGGGACACACACAAGTAGGGGCTCACAAAACTCATGTGGGGGGGGAGTTTCATCATGCTTCACTCTCTTGCTCAGCCCAGTATGGCTCCTGGGCTCTCTGGCAGTGGCCACCAGGCTCAACATGGAGCCCTGAGCTGTCCATCAGCAGTCCTGGTGAGGACCCTGTGCTCTTCTCCGGCTGCACTGCGACGGCCGAGCCCAGTGCGGCTCTGGACTGTGCGGCTACTGCCAGAGAGCCCAGTGGAGAGCTCTGAGGTGCACTGCTGCTTCTGCTGGACCCAGCATGTTTTCTCACCTCCTCCAACTGTTGAGGCAGGTGTGTTCTCTGTGCTTGTGCTGTTTTACTTTGTGGGTAATTTAAACCCCCCATTTATTTTTTTGAAGATTTTTCTGCAAATCTAGGGGTTCCAGTTTGGTGTAGTGCCAATTTGGTGTAGTGGTTAAGTGTGTTGACTTTAATCTGGGAGAACCACGTTTGATTCCCCACTCCTCCACTTGCAGCTGCTGGATGACCTTGGGCAAGCCATAGTTCTGTCAGACCTGTTCTTGTAAAATCCAAGAATAGACATGGAGTAAACAAGATACCCCAACACAATCCACAAAGTAACCTTCTCAAAACCAAGTCAGACCTGTTCTTGAAAGAACTCTCTCAGCCCCACCTACCTCACATGGTGTCTGTTGTGGGGAGGTAGGTGTTTGTAAAGGTAGGTAAGTACGGTAAAGGAGTTTGTAAGCTGCTCTGAGACTTCAAGTGAAGGGCAGAGTATAAATCCAGTCTCTTCTTCTTCTACTACTACTAGTGCTAGACTACAGCAGTACTAGACTACTGTAACACTCTCTACATGGGGCTGCCCTTGTTGCAAGTTCGGAAGCTACAGCTAGTGCAGAACACTGCGGCCAAGCTGTTGATGGGCTTACCTAGATGGGAGCTCATCCAGCCTGCGCTGAGGGTACTGCACTGGCTGCCAATAGCATACCAGATTCACTTCAAGGTGCTGGTGCTTACCTTTATTTTATTTATTTATTTTGAGAGTTACATCCTGCTCTTCCAAGCGGCTCAGGGCGGCTAGCAAGCGACTAACAAGTTTTAAAGCCCTATATGGCCAGAGTCCGACATACCTGACGGACTGCCTTTTCCCAGAGAGCACTGCGGGTCAGAGTCACAGGATCAATTGACCCTCCTGGGCCCCAAGGATGCCAGGCTCACTACAACCAGGGCTGGGGCCTTTTCAGTGGCGGCTTCTTACTGGTGGAATGAGCTCCCAGAGGAGATCAGGGCCCTGCGGGATCTTCTACAGGTCCGCAGGGCCTTCAAGATGGAGCTCTTCCACCAGGCCTTCAACTAAGGAGCCACCCTCACTATTACCATCAATGAGCCCAGCCCTCAGCCTTAACATCTGGCTTATTCCATCAAGCGACTCATTAAGACCACTGAGCTGGAACTGTCAGCTAGTAAACATCCTAATACGCCATCATAAGTAATGAACTGAACGATCACTAACACCTTTGATTTTATGATTTTAATTTGTACATTGTTTTAAAATGATTTTATATGGTTTTATTGGTATTTGTGTCAATGTTGTAAACCGCCCTGAGCCCACTGACGGGGAGGGTGGGGTATAAATTGAATGAATAAATAAATAAATAAATAAATACTACTACTTCTTCCTTTAAGTTTACAGAAAAATCTCTTTAATGCCCATGTAGCCCCAGTATGCAGATTTAGATATCTGCAGATGAGGGCCACAGGTCACTAATAGTATATAGATATGTAATCTCAGGTTTCACAGAGTGAGATTATTAACAGTGTTAGCACTCGTATAATTATGAAATGGTATGCATTTGCATTTGTGGAGTTTAATTTGGGTCTATTGTTACCATTCTGTGACCCTTACTTTTGTACAAGAAAATGAATAGTATGAGCAATGTGTGGTTATGATTGCCTGAGCTCTACCAAGCTGTGATTATGTTATCCTCTCTTGTGCTCTATAGTTTTCTTCCACTCTAGCTTGTGGTTTTTCAGATTCTAGGTTTCAGCTCTTAGTGCTGGGTCAAGTGCTTCATTTATAGTAGGGTCCCCCTTTTTGAGCCTGTGAGCACATTTGGAATTCTGACATGGCATAGTGGGTGCAGCAACAAAATGGATGACACAAAATGGCTTCTGCAGGGGGCAGAGCCAGCCACAAAATGATTGCCACCACTTAACTTCAGTAACAGAGTGTAGATCATTGCACTGTGGTGGAAGTTACTGTCAAAGCAACACTTTAAAAAAATCTGCACACCCGATCAAATCTCCAGCAGTCCCAATCAAATCTCCAACAGTCAATCAGAACCCTTGCTGGACAAAAGCCCTACTTGACCCCACAAGGGTTGCCAGGTCCCCTCATTGCTCCTGCAGGGGATTTGGGGAGCGTTCCAGGACATCCTCAATGTGATGATGTCATGCGGGGATGCTCTGGTTTGACAGCAAAAACTTCCAGGTGGCATCATCACATTGGGGGAGTCACACAGGGATGTGGCTTTTTTTTGGGGGGGGGGTGTTTCCACTGGCCAGTGGTGGGGTAAAGCCCTGAAAACTGGGGGGAATCCCCACCCCAACCTGGGGACTGGCACACCTAGGCCCCACCCACTTCCTAAAACACTTGGCAGGCACCAGAAAAGGTGTCAGTGAGTGGGCACCACGTTGGGGACAACTGGTTGATATTAATCAGGTTTTTACCCTCCTTGAACCACAGATGAGAGGAGTCACAGTTCCCAGGCATACCTTCTTTTCCCCCCTAGCAGCTGTCAGTGAGTTTATGAGTCTGTTGAGATTCATACGGGTCTGTGCAAAATCTCTACTGTTCCATTCTATCCTCAAGGCTTGACCTGATGATTCAGTTTATTAGTTATCACACTGCTCTACATTTTTAGATGTGTTAATTTTAATTGTGTTAATTCTTAACCATTGGTGCCTCGTGGATCCCTCTGACAGAAAGTATCTAAAATAGTGTAGCAGATGAATAATACCGCAGTTCAGAACAAGCAGGGTGCTGCATTAGCAAAGCTTTATTTAGTTAGGGCATCTTCAAGGGATCATGAATGTGATGCTTGTAAATTATTGATCTGCAAAACTTTTTAAATATTTTATATAATGACTTTCTTCCTGAGAGTAGTGTGCTGAAATGCAATATGTTTCATTCTGGAAGGGGTGTAAGTATTTCTCAAACCAACACACCAGCTTTTAGAGTTTATTTCAATGTATCTTGCTACACACACCCTCCTCACCAAATAGCTTGATTATATAATCAAAGCACAGCAAGGATTTAAGGAAATGCCTAAAATTAAATCTTTTTGCTTTTCTAAGTTCTCCTTTTGTCTGATGAGTTTGTGTATTTAGGAAACATCACATTAAAATAAACTAAGGCTGCGGTCACACGGAACATTAGCCATGCGAGTCAGACGGAAGACATGCGGGTTTTCCGGGCGCGATCCCACCGGCACATCTGGGAAGTGTAGCACTCCCGTGGCTCAAACGAGGCTTCCTGCCGAAACCACGCGGCAAAAAACTAGTACCTCCGAGGTACTAGTTTCCGGAAACCGCGGGGCAAGGGCGGGCGTCTGATCGCGTTTCCGGTGGCATCCGGCGCCCGCCCATGTTCCCCACCTATATTACAACATTTCTTTATTTCATTTATACCTTTCTTGTTGACGCAGACCCAAAGCAGTCAGATATAGCAATATACAGCAAACTTCAGCTTTCAAGAAAAGTATTTTATTTAAAAAAAAAAATGAGGTGATCTGCATAGGAAGAGCTCTGCTGAGATCAGACCAGTGGTCATTGTGGTCCATCATCCTGTTTCAAACAGTGACCACCCAGCAAAGCATGAGGGACAAAGCCTCCCTCTCCTGTCACTCTCCAGAACTGGCATTCAGGGGGTTGTTAGAGTCTGAACATGGAAGTTCCATTCAGTTGTCATACCTAATATCCACTTCCCTTTGACTCTTTAAAAGCAGTGGTCATGAAGGCACCAGAAAAGGTGCTAGGTGAGGCTAGGTGAGG